TGACTTTGAATTTAAATCATATATTGCTAGAAGAGGACAATTATACTGCCCATCTTTTGATAGCATATCACAGAATAGCATCGAGTTTTAGTAACTGGCGTAAAAGTACATTTAAATAAAAAAACTACTCTTGGTTCTCTCCTCTCTACCAGTGCCAAATTTTATTTACACAGTTTTATATCCATTCTTTAAAATATATTAATATATTTCTTTCCCCTCTCTCTGTCTCTTTCCTTTTTAATCCCTTTTTTCCTGCCTGGACCCTAAGAGAGGGATATAGCTTCTCATGCCTGTTTGGAACGCCAGCATGTCCTGGGAAATAATGACTACTTGATAAGGGAGTAAATGTCAGTATTGTCCAAAATTCAGTCGTACTGGTTTCTCGCCACTGAGGGACGATACAGCAAACTGGGTAAGAGTATCAGCTCTCGGCTCTGTTGGGCCCTGTTCATGGCTGTGTGACCCTCAGCAGGTCACTTAACTGTATACTTTCTCCATCTGCACAGTGGAAGAGATAATAACAGTACCTGCCTCCCAGGGCTGTCGGAGGATGCTGAGATCACATCCGCCAACACTGAGCACCGCGTCTGGCACGCAGCAAGCGCGGGTGCTACCCAGGGTACTAGTCACAGATCCGAGACCAGCCGGCCCGGTGTGGCATCGCTGGGTTTAGACACTGGTCTGCCTTTGTAGTCGCTCAGTGTCTTCTCTGTACCTAAAAGTACAGGCACTTTAGTTGGCGTGGAACGCCTTCTTAATCAATCACTAAGAGGTACCATGGAACCAGAATGAATGCAGCAGGGAAGATGTGCTGTGCTCAGAAAATATTATTGATTATAATAACAGCAAACCATTAAATATTAAAGTATTTGTCTTTTGCAGTAACTCCGTTTGCTTTTGAATAGACCTAGCAGCCCCTTAATGTCAAAGGGCTAATTGAAATAAAAGATAAATGGATCCTTGAAATGCAAACCCCCTGGGGATATTCAAATGAGTTCTTTGCAAGCACAAACACTCAGGAGACTGATACCTGCCTAATGCATCTCGCTTCCCCAAGGGCTTGCATTAAATAAAAAGGCACTCAGTTATTTATAAGGAACGTGTTGAGCATTATATACCATGCTGGTTTGGCAGGATTTCCATGTGCTTGAAATTTCCCAGTGTCAGGGCTGATTTCCAATCTCATGAATATATACATAATTTAAGTATCCAAGTACAAAACTGGCAATTAGAGTGGAAATCGGGGAGCTTGCTAAATGTCAACCCCAGTGCTTGTTGATAAAACACCTTTTCAAGCTGAAATTCCATCCCCGGCAAACACGGGAGGCCGGCGTTCACCTGAGACACCTTGCTTACCCGGTGTGCGTCACTGCTTTTCAACGGCCGCCTTGAACAGTTTGATGGACCTGGTCCTAATGATCTGCGTGAAAGGGCAGCAAAAACGAGGACAAGTGGAGTTTTGGAAAGGAGGGATTGGGGTTGGGGTTTGGACAGGCACGACTGTGCTATTTGGTAGCTTTTGAAGCTTTGAAGTAGAGTTCCACCCTTCCTGTGCAACGTTGGAGCCAGCTCGTTTGAGCCAGTCTGTCCACCGACATTTGTCTGGATGGATTGAGATGCCTCCTCAATCCGGGTACTAGTGGGGACGTCTGAAGGACATTTGACCTCATGAGAGAGCACAGATCTCTTTCTTAACTGAGTTTGGGGACACCCAGAAAAAGGCCTGTCTCTAAGACTGAGCCTTTAGAAATCTAGCAAAGCTCAGGATTTCTTGCCAAGAGTGGTCACAGCCAAAGGTGTTGCCAAGGAGGGAAGTGGTTTGGGGAGAGGGAAGAATAGACACATTTTATGAATTTATGGCTCTATTGTTTTCACCCATTTGAAAAAAAAAACCTTAAAATGTTGTCTTGCCAACCTCCGACTCCGTTGTAATAGGATACTGTCAGTGCAGTTCATGCCCCGGCAGTGTTCTGAGAGATCAGAGCCCCAGCCAGGTTCTCTTCGCTGCCGGAGGAAGAGAAACCCATCAGTCCCTCCTCACACTGCCAGTTCCCATAACCGAGCCACAGATTAACACACAATGTCACCCAGTGAAAAGGCGCCCACGCAGATCCACCAGGCTCTGTTGCACGCGCGGACCTCCAGTGCCTCTGCAGGCGTGACGAGGAGGTGTCCCAGCGCAGGGAGAGTGGTGGGGCAGGGCTGGCTGCTCCTGGAAAGGGAGGTGTCCCAGTGCAGGAAGAGTGTGGCGGGGCAGGGCTGGCTGCTCCTGGAAAGGGAGGTGCAGGGAGAGTGTGGCGGGGCAGAAGGAGAATAAAACACACATGGGTGCTGGCACCCAACAGTTCCTCGCCGAGATGGGTTCAGGGGGAGCGGGGATGCCCATCACTTGGGGCGGCCGTCTGAGCACTCAGAGTTTCTGCATGATTTTCAGCGTATATGTGAATCCGCCTTCACACAGAAGTACGTCGCAAACTGCCCTGGTGCTGTGACATGGGCATACGCCTTTGTATGTAAATATAGATATTTATATACATCTTTATATGCACAGAGGCACACACAGTGGTGTGCACTTGTGCAAAGCAGCGTGGCTGTGGATTTTTAAAACAAAGGCCGAGTCAGGGGAGCGGGAGAAGCAGACAGTCCCAGATCCGGTGCTGGCTGTTGATGTTCCGCCTGCACGTTAAAACACGAGGTGTTCGGGACATGCTGGGGATTAAGACGCAGCACACGGGCAGTCTGGCTGCTTGGGTTTGAATTAAGAGGGAGTTGCCCCCTCCTCTGTTATCTTTACGCGGGGAGCTGTGTCGGCTTCCCTCCTTGGCACTGTTAAAATGAATCAAGCATGAAATGTGCCCAGGAAAACTTTCTTCCCCAGACATAATGGGGCAGGAAAGAATAATAAGCCTTGAGAGAAAAAAGCCACAGATTCTCCTTGGCTGGATGCCCGAATACTGTGTGGTTGGAGCCGATCGAACTGCTTACTTTAGTAGCCGGATAGCTCAGCTTTCTCGGGCTGGAGGATGTGTTTTGAGCCAGTGGACACAATGGTGGAGGGAGGTTTTTCAGGGGTCAGTGCTTCCCCACTTGAGCTGCCTTGTTCCCGGGTCATGCCTGGTGCGTCTGCAGCCCTGGCCTGTCACTTGGTGAGTTATTGAACTCTTCCCTGAGGGCTGGGCTGGGGAGAGAGGACGAGGCTGGCAGACAAGGCGATGGTACCCCGTGACTCGCCATTCATTCGCTCTGGCATTTAGCAAATGCAGTGGTGGAAGTTTGGGGTTTGTGAGTGGATTACAGGCCAGCACATAGCAGAAAGCAGATGTGTCAAATGAGATACGCATTGTTTTTGTTAATCCTCACCTGCGGATATTTTTTTTCCAGTGATTGTTTTAGAGAGAGTGGAAGGGAGGAAAGTAGGGGGAGCGAGAGAAACATCGAGATGAGAGACACTGATCGGTTGCCTCCCGCACATGCCCCAGTGGGGACTAGGGATTGAACCTGCAACCCAAGCGTGTGCCCTTGACCTGGAATCAAACCCACGACCCTGCAGTGCATAGGCTGACGTGTTATCCACTCAGCCACACTGTCCAGGGCCCCCGTGATATTTTTCAAGACAATAGTCAGGGGGCCAATGGAAACCAGAATGCTACAGCAGCAGGACTCTCGGGGCTACCGTCAGGGGTCATTTCTGGAAGCACTGGAGGGTTCCACAGTGCAGTACGGTATTGGAGAGGTGCAGGGGTTTCGAGGGAGCAGGGAAGAACAGGATGTCGGAGAAGAAAGACATTCCGGGAGATGGAGTAGTGGAGGGTTAGACCCTGTCTCCTGAGCTGGGTTCCTGCGCAGTCGCCCTTGGAGAGTACTGACATTGTGTAGCGGCTGGACTCGGACTGTTACCAGCTGTTTGCCCTCTGTAAAGTATTCATAATACCTATATACCCCAGGGATGGTCAATGAAATAGCAGGCGAGAAGCACTTGGGTGACTTAAGTAAGAACTTAGTCAATGTGGGCTGCTATTGTAGTCGCGAGTTCCTCTTCCTCTGGTCATTGTTCACAAGACTAACTTTGGCTCCTCTTGCCTGAGGGATGTAGTACAGTCTCCCTAACTTGCCATTCAAAGCCTTTTCCAAGTTGCCCTCAACATTTTCATCCAAACTTACTTAGATAAGCAGGCTTATTCATATCCTGTGCCTCCATCTCTCACCTCTGGGATCTGCCTGTTCCCGCAGTGAGTTATGCTTGTCCCAGCTTTGTCGGGTCTCAGCTGAATCTGCCCAGCGTCTGTGGAGCACCCCGATTGACGGCTGAGACCCCTTCCTCTGCATCCCTTTAGCACTGGCTGCCTCTTGCATTTCTCACTAGTTTAGGCAGATCCCAGCTGTATCCTCTGCTCTTTGAGAACCGGGTTTATAACTTGCACTTCTGTGTATTCCACACAAGGGTCTGCACATCCCCGGTGAAGAGGTTCAGCGGACTTGGTCACCAGGTAGAGTGGGTGTGAATCCTAGCCCGTTCTACTATTTAGAGAGCATGTGATTGCCAACAAGTCACTTCATCTTGCCCCGCCGGTGTGGCTCAGTGGTTGAGCGTCGACCCATGCACCAAGAGGTCGCTGGTTCAATTCCCAGTCAGGGCACATGCCCAGGTTGTGGGCCTGATCTCCAGTGGGGGGCATGCAGGAGGCAGCCAATCAATGTTCTCTCTCATCCATGTTTTTGTCTGTCTCTCCCTAACCCTAACCCTAACCCTTCCTCTCTCTCTAAAATCAATAAAGGGGGGGAAAGCACTTCATGTTCCTGAGCCTCAGTTTCCTCACCTATAAAATGGGGGTGTTCATGTCTGCCTGCAGAATGTATGTGAGGAGTAGAGATGATACGTGGAGTGTTCACCAGGCATGTGTCAGGTGCTCAGTAAACAGGAGGTACTATTACTACTATCGCTGATCTGATGAACTGATGTTATGTATTCAGTGATGCTAAGGAATTTCTTTTCTCTGCAGTTATACAGCTCAGCTGAATTTGGGAGAAGGTGGCAGCTGATCCAGGAAGGGGTTGTCCCAAACAGGTTCTACTGGTAAGTCTCACCTTATTTTGTAGCGTATTGAGACATCACCTAGTTATAAGCACTGGATTCTTTTTCTCACCCAGATCTCACATGTGGTCTTTCCGATTGGGATGTGCCCATATCCTCCTGGTGCAGGACGTGGTGTTGGAGCAGACAACATTTTGAGGGAATAGTAAAGTTGTGTCACAAATTTCTTAATAAACCCAAAATCGATGATTGAGATTAGTGAACAACAGGGGCTTTGTAACTGTTGTTTTGTTCTATTTTGATGAGACTTGCAAGACAGACACTTAAAATTTTAATAGTGAGATTTATTATTAAAAGCATGATGCAGCCCGGCCAGTGTGGCTCAGTGGTTGAGCTTCAGTCCATGCACCAAGAGGTCGCTGGTTCGATTCCTGGTCAGGGCACATGCCCAGGTTGTGGGCCTGATCCCCAGTGGGGGGCATGCAGGAGGCCCCAGTCGATGTTCTCTCTCACCGATGTTTCTATCTGTCTCTCCCTCTGCCTTCGTCTCTCTCTAAAATCAAAAACAAATAAAAATGTAAAAAGCATAATGCAAACCATGGACATAGACAACAATGCTGGGGATGGGGGGGGTCAAGCGGAGGGTGTCGATGGGGTGAAAAGGAGAAACATCTGTAACAAAAATAAATTAATTGAAAAAGGGAAAAAAATAAAAGCATGGTGTACGCATTTATTACATGTTCAAAGAAAGGTTTTTGTTGTAAATAAGTAGATCTTACTTAGTTTAAAATTAGATCATCTTCCCATTCCTGATTTCAAGTTTCCTAGACCTTCTCCTTATCATAAGGGATGTAACCAATATTCTTAATTATGTACTTACCATTCCAGAAGTGTTCTGTGAATACATTCTTAGTCGGCTTAAGCTGCTCTAACAAAAAGAGCTCGGCTGGGTAGCCGAGACAGCACATTGGTTTCTCCCGGTTCTAGAGGCTGGGAAGTTCAAGATCAAAGGCTGGCATGTTTCCATCCTGGGGAAGGCTGGGGGATTCCAGAGAATACTGCAAGATACTGCTTCTGTGTCCTCACGTGGTGGAAAGAGGAAGCCCTGGGCTCTCTTCCTCTTTCATAAGGGCACTCATCCCATCAAGGGACTTCACACCATGACCTCAGCCAAGACTATTACCCCCAAAGGCCCCCCTCTAAATACCCACACACTAGGGATTGGGCTTCAGCATATGAGGTGGGGGCCATACAGCAGTCCATAACCTTCCCAGCCCTGGCTCCCCCAAAGTTCTTATCTTTACATATGGAAAATGTATCCCTAGAGCCCCATCCCTTAACCTGTTCCAGTGTCAGCTCTAAAGGCTAAAGTCCAGTGTCTCATCGAAGTATAGTTAAAATCAGATATGGATGAGACTCAAGGTATGATTCATACCGAGGCAAAATGTCTGTCATCTGTGAACTTGGGAAAGCAGATAAATCATGAGCATCCAAAACACAGTAGTGGGCCAGGCACAAGGTGGACACGCCCATGACAAGCGGGAGAAGGAAGCAAGCAATTATTGAGCACCTGCCATGTGGTAGACCTTTGGTCTGTTTCTCTTCTCAAACAGACCCTGATCCCATCCTGGGAGTGCACCTCATGATCTCATCTAACCCTCATTACCCCCCAAAGACCCCATCTCCAGGTACTATCACTTTGGGGGTGAGAATTTCAATGTATGAATTTGAGGGGGGCAAAACAGCCCGGAGATTCGCATTGGCATTAATGTTAGCATAGCTCCCTGTTCTGCGCCTTGTTTGTTTGAGGGGATGCAGTTCACAGTCACGCCGTCATTTTCTTTAATGGCTAAGTATTATTTTACTCGAGGATATAGATTGGAGGTCAATACTAGGCGTATTTAATGTGCAAAATAAACTGTGGATGATTGTGGGGTGTGTGAGGGGAAAGAACTGTGGGGGCAGGAGAGAGAGAAGAAAAGAGAAGGAGACGGGAGGAGAGGGCCTGGAAGGAACAACAGAAGAAGCAGAGAAACTAACGTATGTATAAACCACCTGAGCCCATCCTCCCGCTTAGACTAGAGGTGGCCTCCGTCCCTGGGAATGGGTGGCCACCCATGAAAAGAAGGGAAATTGAACAAGTTCCTTTGGCTTTTGTGTTTGCCTAGATCCTGGCAAGGTAAGAACAAAGTATGGAATATTCTAGTGTGATTTTTGACATCACATGACAATCCTGTTGAATTTACATCCCAAACTCTGCCAAAAAATGGGACTCCTCACCCTAATGTATCTAATCTGCCCATGGAAAAGCCACTTTGGTTGTTTCCAGACTTTTGCTAGTATAAACAGTGCTAGAAGGAGCTAGCTCAGGCAGGAGTGGGAATATACCTTGCTCACATCATTCATCATCCCTGGGGTGATGACCTTTTCAGAGCCATGAAGCGTCCGGCAATGGGACAGTAAGAGGTGTCTCCCCTTTACCACTCCTGAAGTCACACCACCTCTCAAGGACTTGCATGTTCTTCTAAGAAAAATGCATTTTCATATTTCTCATTTTCAAACACCGCCCTGCAACCCCCGTGGGAGCTGGAAGCCAAAGACATACATTAGAGAAATGTTGTTTTTTTTTTTCCTGGTTGCATATCTTTTATTGATAGAGAAATCTCTTAAAATGCAAGTGAAACAGCCTGAAAAAGTGAAAGACAAACCATTTGCAAACACACTGGGCCAAGATAACATGGACTTCCATATGGAATATCTTTTCTCCCCCATCATAAAGTGACATTGATAACTCAGGGGGTGTTTGTCCAAAGACGCTGCTCACCTCTTTCCCACGGCTGCTCTTGCCATCCGCCTTGGAATTCACCTCTAGCTGTCCCGAGTATCCCTTCCCTGATCAGAATTTCCTCTTTCTCTTTGGGTCCCCTATTCCTGAGACACCCTGCACCTCTCTGAGTTTTGCCTAGAAATTATGAAGTCACTTTGGGAGCTAGGGTCTGTGTGTTTTTTTTTTTTTTTTTAGTCTCTCTCTCGGTGTTATACATACACAGAGTGGCCTCGGAAAATAAACAAGTAAAGAACTAAATAAACGTGGTCCTCCTAATTTACTCAGGAAATGGAGCTGATGCTCTGCCAATGAGAACGAGTGAGGGAAAAACCTTCCCTCGAGTCCTGCTCCCAGGGGACTGAAAATACCTCCACGTGAACCCAGCACTAGAAGGCAGAGCGTTACAGTTCCCTGGGGACTGGATGGAAGTTCATCAGTCCCCACAGGAACGAAGAAAACCGTTGACCAAAAAGATGGACAAGGGGAAAGAACAGAGATGAGACTATTTCCCACAGAAGTGGCGCCTGGTACGCAATATTTCGTGGTTGACCGAAGGTCTTGTTCACACACAGCATCATGAGGTGATCGGACCCCACCCCTGCTTAGGCGGGTGCTGATTGCAACCCATTCTTTCCTGTTCTTTGAATGAGGCTCTTCTATCTGAAAGCCGGATTATCAGAGCCCTTGGAACCAAATGTGATAACATGACCGTCTTTGAAAGTTTATGAAACCTTGTAAGCTTTGCACATGGTTGTATATGAATTCTAATCCATCTGTCCGCTAAGTAAAAGAAATAGCGCCCCCTACCTCCTGTGCCTTTGGGGACAGAGACACACTTCCCGGTTCAAGCCCTCACAGTGTGATCAGCATCATTCAAAGCTATGGACTCCTCATCATTTTATGAAGTAAGCGTCGCATTATCATCAGGACCAGCTGGGGAAACTGGCATGAAGAGGTTAAGTAATTTAGCTGTGGCCACCCAGCCAGAAAGCGGCAGGGCCGGGATTCATATCCGGGATCCAGCTCCAACATCTATGCTCCACCAAGCCAGTGGACTCTGTCGCCTCTGCCTGTGGCCTCTTCTCTGGATTGGAGCAGTGAGCCCCCGAAATCCTGCCCATTCAGGCAGACGAGGAGAGAAAACCCAAGGCTCTTTCGACCACCCTGCCTGCCCGTGCGTCGCTCCAGCTGGGCTTGGCAAGTGGCTCCCACGGGTTCTCTACCCTCAGTTGGTTTTTCCGGAGAGGCCATGAGACCTGGTGAATGTTACAGTGCCCATGACAGTTAGTGAACATCTCCTGGTCTCCGTCCACATGGTCTGTATTTTTCTGACTCTGTGCAACTTTCTGGGCTGGCAGACAAGGTGTCAATCAAAGCAATATATAAATACATTAGACTTGCTGCTAGAAACCAGTTAGTTCAGATGACGGAGGAACGAGGGGCTGTCTGGGATTATTCAGCAGGTGTAATTAGAAGAAGCCCCCTTTGGTCTTCCGTGCCTGGAGCCTGGCTGTGGGGGTGTGGGAGGGACTCAGAAGAACTTCTGGTGCTAAATTTAATTGCTCCTCCGAGTAGTCACATAGCATTTCCCACAGAGAAAAGTGAAGATGAATTTATAGCTTCTCCTCATCATCTCGTACACTTGAGAAGTATCTTTATTTTGCGTGGTGTCACTATCGCCTGGAAGTAGTCACTGGCAATTGTAAAATCATTATGGAATATAAAAGTTTATTCTTATACTATCTCAGTGGTTGCTGTTAGTACTACCATAACTAACATCAATGTAAGTATTCCTCCGAGGAATTTGAGTTGCTTCCAAAACCAATTTACATGTATAGGGCATATTATAAAACACATCTTACCATAATATTGCCCTTCAGAAATCAATTATATTGGGAGGCAGTAAAGATCGGAGTTCAGGGCCTCAGAGATACTGAAGTGTAAGTTCCAGAGTTGCCATTGTCTAAGTAAGGGATCATGGGGAAGTTACTTAACTTCTGGGTACCTCAGTTTTGATCTCTATAAAATGAGTACAATACCTACTTCATTAAATTAAATGTTTCTTGTGAATTGGTTCTATGCCTGGCACCTAAAATCTATCTTGACTGCCCACTGACTAATAGTAATACTACTATTAATAGTGACTGCCTGCCCTGGCCAGTTTGGCTCAGCGGTTAGAGCGTCAGCCTGTGGACCAGAGAGACCCAGGTTTGGT